CACACACTCTGGGAAGAGTCTGCCAAACGCTGTGAGAGACACGGAAGCTTGGGCTTCTTAACCAGTGACTCGGTCGGCGCAGCGTCTGCGGTATCGTGAGCGGCTCCGTGGCCCGACCCCATGTCCTCGTCCGTACGCCAGCGGGTAAAGGCGCAGACTACGAAAGGAATGCTCTGAGCCAACGGAAGGCCGAATACTGTACGCTGAATGTGGAGCCGAAGGGAGGAACTGGCCCCAGAACAGAAACATCGCCGTTGGCAGTCAGAAGCGTTCCCGACCCCTTGACTACTCAACAGTGTGACGGCTCGTCTGCCCGCTGTCACTCTGGGAGATGCCCGAAAACTCCGTCACGATTTGAAGCTGGCTCTAAGAGACAGGTCGGGGCTCGTGGAATGGTTTAGCGTGTGCCTACAATCACGGAAGGTTTTCAAAACGCTGTGTGTTGGGCTTTTCTCAAGAAACGGAACCACAGTGAAAAAACTATTTCTCATTTAAGTGCCTGAGTGGTGACCTGTGATGAGCCTCCGTTGTATTTATTTGTTGACACAGATAGGCACGGATTGATCCGTATATTATTTTCACCGTGTTTAGGGTTTTAAATCTGGATCATTTGTTCCCAGACTTCAATTTTGATAAATCGCTTGGGCCGGAACCGACGAAACACGCGGTGGCGAACGGTCCTACTTGTGGTGGAATACTATTCGGCCGTGAAAAAGAATGGAGCACTAGCACGTGCCTCGACGTGGGTGGGCCCTGAGAACGTCACACTGTGCGAGAGAAGCCGGACACGAGAGGTCACGTGTTGTGCGACTCCATTCACACGCATGACGCAGAATAGCAAACCCGGGGAGACCGACCACAGGCCAGTGGTTGGCGGTGATGTGGGGGGAGGGGAGGAGGAGGAGTGACTGCTCCTGGGCGTGGGGTGGGTGGTTTTGGGAGTCAGGAGAGTGTTCTGGAATTAGATAGCGGTGGTGGTTGTGCGCCATTGTGAATGTATTAAAAGCCACTAGACTAGACTTCCAAATCGTGAACTTGATGTTCGTCTGCACAGCTGGTTAGCACACAGGTTGCCGGGCCCCACCCCTGGGCTCTCCGACCCAGCAGGTCTGGGTGGGGCCTGAGCGTTAGCTTGTCCAGTAGGTTGCCAGGTGACGCTGATGCTGGGACCACACTGACAGCCTCGGGTCCCAGCAGGCCGGGGAAATGGGAGGGTCCATCCATCAGGGATCAGGGGTCAGGGGTCCCAGCCCAGCGTCAGCAGTTCCGCACCGGGGACTCAGTGCGGAGCTGACATCCAGGAGGGAGAAAATGCAGTTTTTAAGTAACCGAGGTGGACACGAACCCAGGCTCCGCCACCCGCTAGCCGTGAACTCAGCCCAGTCTCCCCTCCCCACCTGCAAACGGGCATCGCCACACCTGTCTCACCAGACCGTCAGGTATGAGTGGAGACCAGGAAACAACACTTTACGAGGAGAAAGTTTGCCCAGTGGATTGTCCAGCTTAAAGCAGGTTCTCAGTGAAATGCTATTCTAACAACATCGAGCATGCAAGTATGTATCTATTAAATTATTAATAATTATAGGTAGTTTTGTTTTTAGTGAAATTTCTATTTTAATAAACAATCATACATAATTTTATAGATGTTATAGTATGTGTCTGATAAACATGCATGGAATATTTTTATGTATGTAAATATATTTCTATACTTTACGAGTATGGACAGAGAGTCAGTGTGGGGAGTGGCGTGTCCAAACGTCCCTGTGACCAAGGTGCAGCGAGGGGACAGCGGAAAGAGCTCTGGCCATGGCTGAACTGTGCTGGGACCCTCTCCAGAGCCCCAGGGCACTGATTCCTGAGTGCCTGAGCGGACAAAGGACCAGGTGGAGGAGCGGGGAGCCATGGCCCGCAGGTTTAATCTCGCTGCCCCCCAACGTTCGGCGGCAGGGGGTGGTTCCCAGGAAGCAGGGGCGTGGCCGTGCCCAGCATCTTCCTGACGCGGCCCTTTCAGGGGTGGCCGGTCTCTTCAGCATCCTCGTGCGGACGGGTCCTGTCTGGGGGTCCTGGTACCACCGGGGAGTGGGTTCCTGGCGCTGGTCGGGGCTGCTGGCACATTGCCCACGCAAGCCCGTGGACTGTCTTTGACTTTTTAAGCCAGTAGTGGATGCCACGTATCGGGCACTGGACCCTGTGCGACCGGCGGCTGTGTGGACGTCGGAGGTGGTCGGAGATGTGTGGATTGGGATGGCAGTGTAATTAGAGGGACCTGACATCTGGTGCCATCCAATGTCCTTGTCTCTCGAGGTTTGAAATTATTTAAGATGACTAATTTCTATTTATTGAGGGAGGCCCATGGGGTTAGATGTAATTTTCAGATGCTCTCATATTCCTACATGCCAGTCAGCTACAGGGTCTTAGCAGAAGGAGAGACCCTTGTTTGTCCACCAGAAATAGTTGGTTTTTCTCCCTGGCTGGTGTGGCTGCGTGGATTGAGCGCCAGCCTGTGAACCAAAGGATCGCTGGTTCGATTCCCAGTCACGGCACAGGCCTGGGTTGTGGGCCAAATCCCCAGTAGGGGGCACATGAGAGGCAACTACACACTGATGTTTCTCTCCCTCTCTTTCTCCCTTCCCCTCTCTCTAAAAATAAATAAGTAAAACCTTTAAAAAAAAACCCTAAGTAATGTTTAAAAAAATAGTTCGGTTTTTTAAAGGGGGGAAATAATGAAGAGTTTGGCGTTCTTAGGAGAAATGCTCCCAACACACTCAGTGCCTGGTCTGCGCAGGGACCCACCCCTCCCCCACTGAATGATAAGCCATGGCCGCTTCTGGCTGTGGGCCTGGCCTCCGGCGGCCTCCCCCACAGAAGGGGCCGCCCCCCGACGCGCCGCGGAAGGAAGAGCCCATCTGAGTTCTGGGGAGCAGACTCCCCCGGGCCAGGGCACGTGTGCAGTCCACACACCTTCGCCCGCCCTTCCCTCCGCCTGGAATGTTCCTTTAATGGCAGCCCCGCCCCCCGAAGCCCAGAAGGCGTGTGCTCCTTTGGAAGACCGTGACACGGGGGCCTTGTCGGAGCTGGGACCGGAGCCGTCTCAGCCCCCCGGCCGTGCAGGCCGTGCCCGCCCGCCGCTCGCTGTCCCACCGGGCGGCTCTCAGAGACTGCGGTCCTTGCCACACACCCTTCCCGAGGCTCACAGCTCACCCTGGTGTCTCTCCTAATCTGCTGTCAACCTAGTCAGGAAGTCAGTTTCCCTCCAGAATGAACTGATCAGCGTTTATCACAACACCCGGGGGCACGTCACCGAGTGGGGGTGACGTCTAGCCTCCCAGGCCAGGCCCTGCGCTGCACGTGTCCCCGGGAGAGTCCCCCCTGCCCCCCACGCCGGGAGGCAGGTCCCGCCTGGGCAGGCGGGCAGGCTCATTTCTCTGCCAAGAGAAGAACTCTCCTCAGTCACCTGGGTAACGGAGCATCGTCTTTCCGATGCAAAGTCCCTCTAAACCGATACAACGACCATCTGCCTTGTGGATCATCATCTGAAGCCATTCAGCACCTCAGTACGTGGACTGAACAGTCTGTCTACCGAGGACAGTTAGAAAGATTGAAAAGGAACTTTGTTACAGCAAGGCAGATAAGGCGCGGTTCCTTCCTTTTGCACCCAAGAGCAGGACCTCCGTTCGTTAGTGCATTTGCTGATGAGAGCTATACTCCAGCGTTAATAAGCTGAGGCTGAGAGAAAACTCGTGTGCCGACAGGGCAGCATCACTGGCTCGGCGGTGGTCTTGAAAAGTTGCCAGACCCCATCGTGAAATAGTGGCGAAGCTGCCATCTTCAGGGGAGGGCGGGCGGCGTGCGCTGGGGTGGCCAGTGGACTGGGACCCAGCTGTAATGGCATCCCGTAGCCACCTGCACGGGGCGAGGGTGCCGAGTGGCTACTCAGCAGGCCCGCCTTCTCCCTGAGTGAGAAGACCTCTGGGTTCTGGCATGCCTGTCCCGTCCGACCCTGGATGCCTGAGGCCGTGCGAAAATGCACCTGTAAACAGAGGGAGACCGGGTGACTCAGCTGCTAAAGGGACAAAGCCCTGACCTCCAGGGGCTGACCATGCCAGAGCGGTTCCCCTTCAGAATGACCCTCCGGGGGCTCTGCGCTGCCGGTGGCGTCCCTCCCCACAGTGAGTCGGGACCAGGCCCAGGTCCTCCAGGTCCTAGGACCCTGGAGTACCCTGAGCTCAGCGGGCACAGAGAGGAACAGTCGCTTAAACACCTCTGACCAGAAGTGACGCACATTGCCACCCCTGCTCGTGAGCCAAACCCAGGAACCCACCCGGTGCGAGGGGGCAGGGCAGCCCCTCTGACCGTGGAACGGAGAACATGAACTCAGCTGGGAAGGTGGCCCACCCAGCCGCGTCCCTCCGTATCCCTGGTGTTTTGAGGCAAGAGCGGGCCCTGCACGGCGGCCCCTCCACTCTCTCCTCGCTGTGCTTGGGGAACATGGGGGTGGGCCTTCACAGATGCGCGGCCAGGATCGGCCGGCCCCGACCACAGCGGGACGGTGTCCCTGGATCCCTGGGACTGCTGAGCACAGTCCTTTGTCCCCCTTCCTTCCTTGCGCTTTCCCATAAGGACATCAGCATGTGTCCATGGCACTGGCTACGGTCCTAAGAATCCACTTTCCAGGGTGTCGGCTTACGTGGAACTATTAATAACGTAGACGTGACTCTGTCTACACCAGTTGGCCTGAGGACCGTCGGAAGAGCGTGTCCTTTAGGGTAGCGCAGTCCTCGTCGGTGGCGTTGGTTCTGTGCAAGGAGGGGGTCTCAGGGCACACCCAGCAAGCAGTGCCTGGTCTGCCTCGCCCTGCACTGCGTGTTGAAGGCTTTGCTGGCGAGCCCAGCAGCAGGCCAGCGGGCGGGAGTCACCGGTGGGGCCCAGGAGTCGCAGCGCAGGACGCAGGCGAGGCCGGGCCGGGCTCTGACCGCCGGCCCCTCTGCTCCTCTCCGCAGGTACCCCTTCCCCATGGTGTTCAGCAGCTGCAGCCGGAAGGACCTGGAGGCCAGCCTGGAGAAGGGCGTGGGCATGTGCCTCTTCAACCTGCCGGAGGTCAAGCAGGCCTTCGGGGGCCCCAAGTGTGGGAACGGCTACGTGGAGGAAGGAGAGGAGTGTGACTGCGGGGAGCCGGAGGTAAGAGGCGTTTCCCGGCCGAGGCCCGGTGGGCGTGCCCGGGCGGAGCGGCGGGAACACGGAGCACTCACTCGGCTGAGTGGCCGGGCTGGCTGGGCTGCACCTGGCAAAGACCTTCAGGGGCACCTGCAACAAGCCCCCAGCCAGGACGCTGTCTTGGGTTGTAACTGTTGCACAAAATAAGTGGCAACACTGGCTTGAAGAGCTAAAGGACCTTCTCTGTTGAAGGACACGGTGTCCTTGGCAAGGCGAGCACCGCAACAGCGGTGAAGCACTCGGCTTTGAGTTCGACAGAGGGAGAGCCCGGGAGTAATGCCGGCTGCAAACGGCTAATAAGTACCACTTCTCTCTCTCTGTGCGGCGGCGGGTGAATGAGGGGAATTTGAATACGCAACACTCACTTTTCACCAGGCGCTTCCTCCCAGATTGGAACCCCGGGTGGCTGCCGCAGCCGCCTCTGCCGGCTGGCCGGCCCACAGCCTCCCGCCTCCCACCTCCCGCCTCTCTGCTCATTAGCTTTCAGGAGCACTCGGCAAAAGCAGGGGACACTTGTGTCCAGCAAAGGGCTCTATTCCACTGCATTCTCCAGCCGGCGCTGGGAAACTGTCTTGTTCCTGGAGGGTCCCAGGTGCCGTTAATCAGCATAAAGATTGTAACAGCCACTTTTTAATCTCTCAAACAGTCTTGAGAGGGAACGAGAAGGACAGGAGACTGGGAGGCCCCTGGTAAAACAAGTGCCCCCTGGAAGCCTTTGGGAGGTTGTGCTTAGAGTGAATGAAAGCAAGGAGCTTGCACAGAGGCGGGCCGCGTGTGGGACGCCCTGCCCGCCAGCTTCTGCGAGCCGGGGGGGTTGACGACAAGGTCAAGAAAGAAACACGGATATGCTGTTCCACTCACTGATGCAGTCACTGGTTGATTTTTGTATGTGCCCAGACCGGGGATCGAACCTGCAACCTTGGTGTATCAGGATGACACTAACCAACTGTGCTATTTGACCAGGGCCTAATTTTGTTGTTGTTGTCGTCATTGTTTTTATTTTTCACTTTTCAGTGTTCGAACTCAAACCGTGTCCAATAGTGTGGCAGCCCAACTCCAGTTTCCAAATCTCTGACCAAAACGTGTTGTCCCACCTGCTGACCTGGGCTCTGCCCCCCCCACCCCCCCCCACCCCGTGCTCAGGCCCTGGAAACGTTCCCCGTGCCTCTGCTCCGCATTGGCCCACGCGTCCTTCAGCCCACCCGGGGGCTCTGTGGGTCTCCAGCTCACCGCTGGAACCAGCTTCTGCGCCCGCGCCCCCAGGAGTAATCTCCACCACTTTTGCAAGGGTGCACGACTGCCTCGCCCCAGCGTGCTGTCGTGAAGGGTCCACGTCCACGCAGGACCCACCACTGAAGAATGGCAGTCGGGCGTCTGCAGACAGCCCTCCCACGGCCGCGCTGTTCTTCCTTCTTTGCAGCCGGGGTGCTCGTTGGCTCTGCTGAGCTCCTCTGTTGAACCCTGGAATAACGAATGGATCCGCAGAGGAAGAACCGGTCGCTTCTGATCAGTAGAATGCTGCGGAAGTAGATCCCGGGTCGTTACAGAGGCGTGTGACCGGGGGAAGCTTCCCCTGTGGGGACATTGGATTTCTATCGGCCACAAGGATGTGACCGCTCACTCGTTCTCCCGCTAACGGCCCTGGGAATCAGCCTTGGCTCCTGGTGGAAAGTCACAGGGAGGCCACTAGCTTGCAAATCGCTTTTAAATGTGGTTCTCTTCTCACATTATCAGTCCGCTTTGAAGTGCAGGCCCTTCTGCTTGGCCGCATTTCCATCCGAGCTGCTGCTGCTGCTGTTCAGGGATTGGTTGGGGGCAGGGAGGTAGTTCCTGAAGGGCCTTAGGGCCCAGTCTTAGGACGGCTGATTTCACTTAGACCTGGGAAGTCTGTGCTTTGGTTCACGTGTAGGGCCCTGGAGACCCTCACGAGCAGACGACGCTGCTGTACATTCGATGGTGCGGATCAGGAATGCAACCGATGGACTCTCCAAAAAAGAGAATAATACTAACAACAGGTTCCCGAGCTTTTTAGGGTTGTAGGTCCAGGAGTTAGAAACCCACACCGTCGTGAAAGTGACAGCCACGACTTCTGCTTAGCAGTTTTATCTTATCGTGGACACGCCGCACTGAGGAGGTGTATAAAGCCCTTGCACAAACGTCAAGTCTGACAGCTTTGGATGCGTGCATCATGGGAGCGCAAGGCAAACCCCAAACAAGAACAGAATTCACAGTCTCACCCGGGGTGCGACTCAGATATCTGGGTCAGCCTTCAGCCTTCTGGATTATCGACAAAACTTAATCAATTGCATTAACGATACTAGTTGTAAATTCATTCACACAAGATGGTTTTCAGGAGTGAAACACTCTACTATTAAAATAGCACAGGACTGGCCGCATCGTAGCCAACAGTATGTCATTTCTTTAGCATACACCACATATTAAGTAACATTAAAGGACACTGCTGAATTAATGCCAAAGACTCTATGAACGGTTACTCCTTTTGATAATTCGGGTTTTTTCTAAAATGTCTAAGCTCCAAGTTATGGGAGAGCTTGCTGTGCCGTGACTTCATAAAGACGCCAGGTAGATGCGTGTGAGCCTTCTGTCGGGAGCTAAGCCCACGACCCTTGTTTCTTGTTGTCAGAAGAACAGCGGGTACTCGTGGCTCACGGCAAACAGAGGAGTTCACTTCCTCCCTCACTTTGATTTCAGAGAGGACAGCGCCTCTCATATTTGACCTCTGGGTTTCAATCCCTTGCCAGCGGGTGGCCCTCAGACCTCCTCCCCGCCTCTCTCTCGGTCACTCCCGTGTGCATGTCGGCCCCGAGGATTCGGGTCCCATTCGACAGCCCCGCCGGGCTGAGCGGGAGAGAGTCTTGTCCACCGCATCGGGCTGGACGGCAAGGAGCTGCGGTTCCAGCACTGCTGATTGGACCTCCTTTCCTGCCAGTGCGCTCCGGACGGAGACAGTCGCCTCGGAAGAGTCGTGTTTGCCTGCGTCTCTGTATGCTGTCCGATAACTCAGGCTCACAATGTGCTAGCGACCCCGCTGCACGCCCCCGCCATAAGACCTGCAGGGACGGGAGGCCCCTCCTCCCTCCGGAGCCCCAGCGGCGGCTGCCCTGAGCGGGCTGCCTCGCCACCAGCCCTCCTGCCCGGGCTCCCCAACCCCTTCACGGCCGCACCCGGGTGCTGCCGGCTCTCTCCAGGGACCCACACGCCCCCTCGGTCTATAGATGCTTGTAGGGTTTTGCTTCCGTACAGATGAAGATGATCCTCAGTCTTCCGCTCAAGAGCTGAGCCGCCGGGTTCTTTCTTCTTTTTCGAGTCTCTGCAGGGACGTTTGCTCTCCATGAGGGTTGCTCCCTGTGACGCTGACCACCGCACCCCCTTCCCTCCCCAGGAATGCACGAACCTCTGCTGCAACGCCACCACCTGCACCCTGCGGCCGGGCGCTGTCTGTGCCCACGGGCTGTGCTGCGAAGGCTGCCAGGTGAGGTCTCCCGGCCCCGAGGTCGCCCGCAGGCCCGGGCGGTTCGGCCCGGCAAGCAGCAATAGGGCAGGGCCGCTTCCCGGCACCCGTTGCTGCAGAAGCGGTACCCCCTCGCTGGAGTTGGTAGGACCACCTGCCGCTTGTAGCACCTCCCGGTCTCCGTGTGAAGGGCACCTTCTCCTGCTGAGTCGTCTGTGCTCAGTTATCCGTGAGCTGCAAAGGGCTTGGACCGGAACACTCCGCTGCAGCCGTGCCGCTGGCGGCCCGGGCAGCCCTGTCACCGGGACCAGAGGAGGGTTCCAGAACAAGCCCCCACTCCCGTGACTCCGCCTCCCGCCCGCTCCCTGGGCCGGACCCCGAGAACGTCCCACCGCTGGGCTGAGGAGCCCCGCGGGCTGTCCCGGGGGGCGCGTGTGAACACCCTGATCTCGATGCCCTCCTCACGGAGGGCGCCCCGGCCCGGCCCGGCCCAGCGTGGCGGTTTCACGCCTTTGCCGTTTGCACGGCCATCGCCGCACTTGTTACACTGTCTGCCTCCTCATTCAGAGCTGAGATCTGACCCGGGGGCCCGGGCTTTTGACTCAGAGGCTCTGAGGGCAGGATTTTATTTCTTTTCAATGAGGCAGTGGGTCTCAGCGTCCCGCCTGCAGGAACCTCCCCCCCACCCCCGACAGCCCAGGGATTCGGGAGTGCAGGGAAGCGTTTTACGTTCCGCTCAGAACACCCTTTACCCACTTCCTACTCGGGATGAGCTAACGGGACCGTGAGAGCAGCCGGCACCCCCCGGCCCGTGGCAGCCGATGTCAGGAGATGGCTGGACATGGCTGGGGCGGGGAGGTCACCCCGAGCAGCCTCAGACAAGCCACGAGGCATTGGCCGGGTGGTCCCTGACATCCTGTGCCCGCCCCCGCTTCGTGTCCTCTGCACCTCGCCCCACGAGGCCCTCCTGACAGGTGTCCAGCTCCGTGCACTGAGGTCAACATAAAGTAGCTTTAGGATGGTGCCCTCAGAATTATTTGTGTCCACTTGCCCACGAATGCTAATGCTGTAAGTGCCAGCCTCTCCTTAACACAGGCGATGGCACTGGTGACCAGAGACCTTCTTAAAAATCGGGCAACTCTCCCTTCCCTCCCCTGCACCCGAGGGGCAGGCACAGGGACCAGCTCGTCTGCCCACCAGACAACCCTAAGGTGCGGGATGCTGAGAAGAGGGTGCTCCTGAGGTTTCCCCCCCCCCGACCCGTAGCCGTACAGCCATTGTCACCAGAGCAAGCCTGTTTACTCGGTGGCTCCCTCTGCCCCAAGGGGACTGGCTTGGAACCCCGAGCCCCCTTCTGGGACACGTGAGGACAGCGGCTCGGTCCGTCCCAGGAGCGCTGCGGGGACGGCCGCCCCCTTCCCGCGGAGCACGCGCTGGTAACGCCCTCTCCCCTCAGCTGAAGCCCGCGGGCACGCCGTGCAGGGGCCCGAGCAACGCCTGCGACCTGCCGGAGTCCTGCTCAGGGGCCAGCCCCCACTGCCCGGCCAACGTGCACCTGCACGACGGGCACCCGTGCCAGGGCGTGGACGGCTACTGCTACAACGGCGTCTGCCAGACCCACGAGCAGCAGTGCGTCACCCTCTGGGGGCCAGGTAGGTGTGTGGGGCCCGCCGCTCCGGGCAGGGTGGGGCGCACTGTCCGCCGCCGGGTTTGGCTCCCCGGTGGGGCTGGGGACTGCCGGGCATGGGGTGCAACCCGGAGCCAGCCCCGAGGAGCTCAGCGCTGTCCAGTGGCAGACGTGTGAGCCCCTGCTGTGTGCCTGCGGGTGCCAGGGATGAAGCAGCCATGACCCCCTGCTCTCAGACAGCTTAGCAGGGGGTCGGACAGACAGATGGGCAGCAGCACTGCCCACCACCGCTCCGATGGCTCACGCGCTTCTTCGTGCCCGACGGGGACCCCCAACAAGGGCTGAGGGCGGGCACCCCAGGAAGTCACTGCTGCCAGAAGTGCCGGGGCAGGGCTGTGACAGCCCCTCGCAGACCTGGCGCACGAGTCCTCTGTGACCAGGAAGGGCAGGGAGCGGGCGTCCAGCCTCCAAACGGGCGGCACACGGGAGGGACCGTGGGGGCGGGACACTGGACACCAGGGCTCGGAGGAAGGGCAGGGACGCCGGAGTGTGAGGCCCCCTGTGCCCGCGAGGTTCTGCCGGCCGAGGGTCAGGCGCGGTGCTCCAGAGAACGCCCCAGGCAGGCGGCGGCCAGGTCAGTTAGCGGCGGGCCGTTCGCCGCTTCTCACGTGGGCGACGCTGGGCCGGATGCTCGGTCCCTTCCGACCCTGCAGGGACCCTGGAGGTGGGCACCGTGACTCCAGTTTCCAGACGGCGAAGCTCAGGCTCAGAGGCCACAAGTCAGTTTCCCCGGGCCGTGAGGCCAGGCTCGGACACAGGCCTGTGAGGCCCAGAGCCCACGCGGGCGTGAGAGGGGAAGAATCGGTCCCCCATGTGTGTCTCTTGTGTGTGGCCCCTCCCTCTGGGGCCGGAGGTCAGCCCGGGCCAAGGGGCTCGTGGCCCGTGGTGTGCCACCCGCCTCAGGCCCCAGCAGAGCGCCTCCCAGGCCTGCAGGCCCCCCCGAACTCGTCTGTCGTCTCTCTCCCTCCGCTGGCTGCAGGGGTGACCTCTGCTCTGGTCTGGGAGCCCAGTGGGGACAAGGCCACGGTGGTGAGCCAGGCCGAGAGCCAGGCCAGCTCGGGCCCTGGCGTGTGAGGGCAGAGAAACCCCACATGGACTGTGTCAGACTTCTTGGTGAGGTTTGGATTTCAGGGGTGACGCCGCGAGCAAACTAGGGCAGAAGATGATGACTAAACAAACGCCAGCCCTTGGGGTGGAACTGTGTGCGGCAGCAACGACCCGAGGGAGGAGAACCCGGAGACGTGTCCCAGGCTGAGTCCTGGCAGGGAGCCCCTCCTCACACCAGCCCGACGGCCGACATGCGTCTCTGCACTTGAACTCCTGAGGGCCACGGCAATCTGGGGCTCATGCGGCCCTGCCCTCTCCCACCCCGGCCTTCCCATGAACCTCGGGCTTTGTGGGAGCACTGGGGCAGGGGCAAAGGGGGTCCCTGCAGTGCCTGAGGCCCCAGGGCTCCACCCCTGGGCCCTGGCCAGCCCCCAGTCCTGGCCCACTGGCCCACTGGGCTGCGAGGACCCGCAGGCAAGGGTGGGGTCATCTTGCCGTCCTAAGCTAGGCGAATTCTTTGTGCAAAGACAAGCACGAAGTAGGCACTCACGCTACACATGCCAGACGGCTGCGTGGCTTCTGAATGGGTTGGTGACTTTCGACACCTTCTAGCCCAGTGAGGTCACTGGCGACTGCTGGGACAGTGGCTCCTGCTGCAGGCCAAGTCTTTGTGGCCTACAGCGTCCCCGGTGACCGTCCCCCCCAGCCTCCCCCCAGACTCGGCAGTCTCCAGTTCTTGGGTCCCAGGGGATGTGTCAGTGCCACCTTCCAGGGGGCACCCGCGGCCAGAACACACCCAGCGCTGGAGCCCTCGGGGTGCCGGGGGCCTTCGGGGCCCTGCTGCGTTAGGGCGTCTGGCCCCGAGTCCGAAGCGAGTCCACACGGAGCCCCCCAGGCTCTCCCCGAGCCACCGCCCGGGCCGACTCAGCTGGCCGCGCCTCTGCCTGCTGGCGACCCAGCCCGGCATTTATTAGCTCATCGGATCCTCCTCCTCGAACTCCCTGACCGGAGCCGGAGCCAGACGGGCGGAGACACCAGGGGTCTGACTCACGAACCAAGCTTTCCAACAGCGGGAGTGGTAGGAAGTTACCTGCTTTGAACTTCTGCCGTCCTCGTGGCCGAGGGCGAAGCCGGAGGCCGGGCAGCCTGGGGCCCCACGCCACCGCCATCCCCGGAGCCCCCACCCCGTCCCCTGCCCCACCCCGGCTGCGCAGACGGAGGAGGGCCCCCCGGGGCGGTGCCGGGCTCGCCAGGGGGCGTCACAGCACGCCGACTAAACACGCCTGGACTCGGGGATGCTCAGAGTTCCCGAAACGATGGGCTTGGGGGGACCGGACGTGGAGAGCCACCTGGGGTCCGAGACTTCAGCCTGCATCGCCAGCCCCTTCTCAGCACCCCAGATCACCCCGGAGGCGTCCTCAGGGCCAGCCATGGCCCTCGGGACCCTGACAGCCGCCTTTGCAAGGGCAGGTGCCATACCTCCCGTATCAGTGTGGCTGCTTCGCTGCCCAGTTCCAGGGCCCCGTGTGGGTCCCCTGTGGCTGCCCGAACAAGTACCACACACTGAGCGGCTTGCGACAACGTGAACTCACCGCCTTCTAGTTCTGGGGGTCAGAGTCCCAAAGTCAGAGGCAGGTGGGGTGGGTCTCCCCGGGAGGCTCCGGGGGGGTGACCCCAGGTCCCTCTCCGGCACACAGGGGCTCCCTGGCTGCTGGTCTCTCCCTTCCTCCTCCCCGGCCAGCGGCACGGCGTCTCCAAGCCTCTGTCGCTCTCTGACCCCTGCTTCTGTAGTCACGTGTCCTTCTCCAACTCCGACCCCCCACCTCTCCCGCAGAAGGGCCCTGTGGCTACACGGGACCCGCCCGGATCGCCCAGGAAGAGCCCTCCCTTCACGGCATCTCCAGCGCCCCTCGGCCATGCCAGGCTCTGAGAGCGGGCACGGGGCCCTCACCGGGGGGCCGGTTTCTGCCCCCCCCCCCGCAGGCATCGCCCAGACCTCTTCCTGGTGGGGGACCTCCCGCAGACCCCTCAGCCCTGCTGTGCCTCGTCGAGCCGAGGGGGTAGCGAGAGGCCGCCCCCTTGGGCGTATTGCTGTCCCCTGACAGAGCCTGGTGTGTCTTTTCTGTAATCTGTCACCTTTACCGGATGCTCGGTGCCCGGTGCCCGGTGCGTGCGACACTGACACTGTATGAATCAGACGGGACCGCGTTTGCAGGAAGCTCACAGAGGGGTGAGCAAGACCCTCGAGGCCCAGGGCTATAGTGAGGCCGTGATGGGGCGGGGGGGTGGGGGGTTGGAACCACGGGGCTGTGCCAGGGGAATGCCGGCGGCTCTGCTTGTCGGGAGCGCGGGCTGCGGCTCGGAGAGCCAGGGCTGCACCGTCACCCCCGCCCCCTCCTCTGCGCGATGCTCACGCTGCCCTGCCGTTGCAGGAGGCCGACTCCAGGGCCCTGAGTCCGCCGCCGGGGTGACGGACTCCCCACAGTCCCTGCACCCTTCCCGGGGGCAGAGGGGGCGTCCTCGGCCAGGCCCCGTGCCAGCTGGGTGCGCCGGCCGAGAGCCCTAGGGCGCTGGGCGACAGCGTTCGGTTTGGAGGTGCTTCCAGGCCTCAGAAACGGGAAACTCGTGGTCGAGGGCGCGTTTGCAACCCCTCGTTCCCTGTGTGTTAGCACCTGCTCTCAGCTCCAGGAGCCCCTGAGTTCCCGCTGCGCCGGCCCGGCTGTCCGCCCCCAGGTCACACGGCCAAGTTCTGACGCAGCCAGGGTTCTCCGGTTCCCCTCAGGAGGTCAGCCCGCTGCCCGCCCTCCAGCCCCGGCCGTCCGAGCACTGGCCGGACGAAGCCCTTCCCGCAGCGAACCCTCGTGGAGCGGGCGAGTCTCAACCCGGCGTGACACTTCAGTAACTAGTCCTGCTTCCAGATCTCCCTCCACATAAAAGGAGAAAAATTCAAAACACATGCCTGCCCCTCCTAGCTGGCAAAGTCACCCACTTTCAGAATATCTTTGGAGTTTCTGGGGTCACTTTTTAAAAAGATTTTATTTATTTATTTTTAGAGAGGGAAGGGAGGGAGAAAGAGAGAGAGAGAAACATCAATGTGCGGTTGCTGGGGGCCGTGGCCTGCAACCCGGGCATGAACCCTGGCTGGGAATCGAACCTGCAATGCTTTGGTTCTCAGTCCGTGCTCAATCCACTGAGCTACGCCAGCCAGGGCTAGGGTCTTTTTTTGTTGTTGTTTTTCAAATTGTTATTGTTGATGTCGATCTTATTGGCCAGGAGTTTAATTTTTTTTCCCTCACTGATTTGTCTCCCACAAATCTTGTATCTCAAGACTTTGTGTCCTGAGGTCAAACACATACGTGTTCAGGCTGTGACGTGCAGTGAGCTGACGTCGTCCAGCTCAGTCTTGACGGCCGCAGAGACGTTCCGCCAGCGCGACCCGACCTCCGCTCCTTCCGCAACGCCGAGGGGGCGTTTTCCTCGGGCAGAATGGTGGCTGTTGCCAACGCCGCTTATCCGAGCTACTAGCACGGTCACTGGAAACCCCGCGTGGACGTTCATTGTACGGATAACTGCGTGTGGCCAGCCGCGCACCGTTTGCGTCGGAGCAGGCCTGGGATGCACTTGCCTTCTCTCTTCCCTCCCGCACCAGGTCTGGTGCCACTTGGTCTGCCATGGAAGCTAGGCAGGCAGTTTTTTTATGGCGGAAAAATAGCGCTTATCGGCAAGGCTGGTTGATTTTTTAAAATTGATTTGAGAGAGAGAAAGAGAAACATCAATTGTCATTGTTCCACTTCTTGATGCAATTCATTGGTTGATTTTTGCATGTGCGCTGACCAAGGATGGAACCCACAACCTTGGTGTATCGGGACGACGCTCTAACCAACTGAGCTACCCAGCCGGGGCTGCAAGACCGGTTTA